GTGTTCAATTCCAGTCCTCCAGGCTCCACAGCTGTTTGCTTTTGAGGGAGCAAGTTTTCAAACATTCGTTTTCGAGCTTCCTTGTTTGGCAGGTCCACAATGATTCGCTTTTCCAGTCGCCTCAGCATGGCATGGTCTAGTTCCCTATGAAATATGAGCAAATAATGAAATAGCTACTTATGTTTGTTAAGTAGGTGTTTATGCTTTATTTCGTTATAAAGCTGAACAACTAACCATGGAATATTGGAGGCTGCCAGCAAGAAGACAAGGTCATCTGACTTTGCCAGACCGTCCATCTGGATAAGAAGTTCCGTCTTCATTCGGCGCGATCCCTCGTGCTCCGCGGATCCACCTAAGGAGCTGCAGCCACCAGGACCTCCCCCTGTAGAGTCACCGGCACCAAAGGAACCACGCTGGGACATCAGGGAGTCGAGTTCATCAAGGAAGATAGTTGACGGCGCATGAAACCGAGCCAGTTCAAAGAGAACCTAAAGGAGTATCAATTGGAACTTGACCAAACAAATTCTAGTAATTGCTTTTAAAGATAACACATAGTCTATGTCATCGTTATGACAGTACCGGGATAGGCAGAGAAATCTTACCCTGACCAATTTTTCCGAGTCACCTCGCCATTTACTGACGATGGTCGAGGCCGATATGTTAAAGAAGGTCGTTTTGCATTCCGTTGCCACAGCCTTTGCAAGTAACGTTTTGCCCGTTCCTGTTTGTCAAAGAGAGAAGGCCGTTCGGGCTTGATTGTCGGCAATATTTTAAGTGGAACGCTTAAAGTAAGGAGTCAAGTTACCTGGTGGACCGTAGAGAAGCAACCCCTTCCAAGGTGAAAGAATGCCAGTAAAGAGTTGTGGATACTGCAGTTAGAGAAAAAATGCACTTCGTTACAAGATACACAAATAAGGCCTATTTATGTTTGTTAAGTAGGTGTTTGTGTATTGTTCGTATATAAATTCGAACAACAAACACTGACTACCGCATTCTCCGCACGATAAGACCCACTCAAAGGCCTTTAATTTTTTTCAAAAAACGATAGTGTGCTATATAACCTAATCTCTTTACTGATATAAAGCGCACCAGACTATAAGGTGCATTAAGGGAAACGAAACAGCCCCTCTGAATTATAAGCCGCAGCGTCATTTTTTGAGAAAATTAACAGCTTTCAAGTGCGCCTTGAAAATATGCGTAGTTAAATTACTAGCCTTGTGATGAAGGTTATTTTACATATATTTTGATGTTCTTGTCTATACTCACATATTATTTTGATGTTTTTGTACATTTTTAACTTTTTACGGAACTTTTATATTTTTTAGAGCGATTCACTCTCAACTTCATCTATATACTTTAGACTTCTTTGAACAAAAATGAGCTCTGAATCTTGATTAGCTATTGCTGGAATCGAAGGCTTTCTATTAGAGAAACTGCGAACGAGTTTTGTAATGACTCAAGCGAAAGGCCTGTCGACGACACAACTGCTTCTCGTGGGCACAATCGTTTTAACTGTGGCAACATAAATGTGGAAGACCAGCTTTATGCTGTTCGCCTATCCGAATTGAAGAGTGAGAACTTGCTTTCCACTCTTGAACATGAACCTTCATCAAGCAGTCGTGAGTCGGGGGAAGTACTTGGAGTCGAGACAGAAAACCGTCTTAAGTCACCTGCAGCAACTTGACTTTGTCCATGAGGCAAACAGAGAATGTACAGACAGATGCAATTGGACCAATCAGATTGTGTCCTTGAGGGGCATAGGTGGAATGGCTTTTCCGGCTCATTAGAGTGGTAGGACAGAGCAGTAATCTCGGCTGACGGCTGGTGGGATCTCATCACGCGCGCGACCTGTGCCGATCGATATTGCACAGTGGGACGAGTCATCAGAACAGTGTAATAAAGAGTCTGTTAGGCCGACTCCTAACATGTCTATAAAATTAAGGACGTCTTTTAAGCTGGAATTGGATGCTGTGGGGCTAACAAGTAGGGCATTGTGTGTATGTTATTTTTTGAAAATGTCCCACGAAATTTACCAAAGAGATCTGCCTAGTCAGTTGAAATTGCAGCTCAGCTGTCGAAAGCGCGAGCTGAATAGGGTGAGCACTGCAACCTAAATCATCCTAATGCTCCCACAAATTATTCCAGTTAACGCGATCCTCGGTTTCATCTGTTCTAGTGAGGATCAGGTGAGTGTTCTCGGTGCACTTCCAACACCTTACCATAATCCTAATAAGCATTGTGGCCAAATGCACTATAAATATTATAATTGCCACTGAAAGTTTAGCATTTTGTTATCAAGCGAATAACCTTAGAGGAAACCATATTTATAGTTGTACAAACCAAGGTCAAATTTTTAACAGGAAATTATAGACAAGGAGGAATTTGCAAAATGAGCGTTTTATATAATTTTAAATTACTGAGATGGGATAAACAACTGCCTCCTTGACTAGACGTTTAGCAGATTCCAGGCCGATTATGTCATCCCAGTGAACGTCCGGATTGTGGAGATAAATGTCCTGAAAGAAAGATTATAATAACTTCGATTGAAACGGAAAGGTGTTCTTCAGTAGACTCCTATTGAAATCGAGGCATTCGAGCAAGCAAAAAGGATGAAGCCCAAATGAAAACCTGTCGGATACTTTTCTCAACTCAGTTCCTTAGCTTTTGCCTTTTTGACTTTTATCGGCAAAGGTGATAGGCACAATCTTCAGTCATTACTGTAATGGCTGCACATATTATGGTTATGACGTACAAATATATTTTATTGCAAAATACCTGCCGGAGAAACTGGAATCTCTGTGGCACGGAGTTGCTAGCCATGTGTACATGAAAAGATTGGGAAACTCAATTAAACACAATTTAAATGCCCAAACAATAGACATCAGTTGGGAAAAGATGTCAGGTGCGTTGTGCAGAAACTAAAAAACTGCAACTTCTAGAAATCTATGGTACTCCTTATAGTCCAACTCGAATATAAGCCTAGTGATTAGTAAGTAATTTCGAAAACCCGTCACTGAGTTTTGCAAAAAGCACAACTCGCTGTCCCATGTAGTAAAAAGTTTGGTGTTACCCCCAATATAGGGGAAAACAAAAGTAGATTGACAGTGAGCATTAAATTCATGTGTTTTGAAAGTTAAGATTATGACGGCCCGCTCCGATGGTACTGTGCAATAAATACATCCTTTATGATGTTTGAGTTGGAGAACTTTGGGTTATTGACAATTGGCCATTCCAGTCTCGCTTGCCTTTACTGGCACTACTATGTGCCTACAATCAGATGTTACGGTTATCAGGGCCTCTGTCATGGTCCAAAGTAGAGGGGGGCAGATTAGTTTCATAAGCGGTCAGTTGAACGTTCATGAACGAAGGTTAAGATTATGACGGCCAGCTCCGATGGTATTTTACAATAACTTTATCCTCTACGATGTTTGATTTGTAGAACTTCGAGTTCTTGAAAACTGACATAATCTAAGGAAAAGTTGACATCCATTTTTGAGCTAATCACATATATATTTAAGTAAGAATTAGGTGTTCATAGTCAGATAGTGAAATCATTTTATGAAAACAAGAAAGCGTACGTTAAAATATTTAATTGCTTAGGACATAGGACTTGTTCGCAGTTATAAAAATAAGCTAGTTTATAAAGTAAGTTGGCATACCCTTGAAATAGTGGCAGCAAGATCTCTCCACTCAGCGGAATAACCAGCGTAGGATCCTAGTGGTCTAAGCAGCCTTTCCTAAAAGACGATGGGGAAAAAAAGGCAATTTACTCATTCTGAGCTAACACGGAAAATAAATGCACAGTCAAAAGGTTTCCATATTTAAAAAATCTACGGTAACAGCTTCGTCACGATGCCTAATCGCTGTGGCTCAAACAGTTCTAGCATTACCAGTATAAATTCTCAAAACAACTCTGACTTGAGTAAATTGTTTTAACGCGTTTATGGTTGTGTTTTTCAAGCGTAAAGAAGCAGATTCTGCGACTACTGCTGCTGCTAATTTCTTCGGTCTCTAAAAAAGGTATCTAAGAGTATCTAGTATACCACTTTAAAAGGTTCAGCAGGGTAGACCAGAGTTCGGCAAGTACATTTTTCTATGACGAAAATGAATAATAAAGTGAATGCATCCGGTTAGTATGAAAAGTCCCAGATTACCTGAGATGGAATTTCTTCAGACTGACTCATTCGATTTTCCTGATTAATTATCGCGCGAAAATCGATTATTGGTCCAAATTTCTGGGACTTTCCGTTCTGCACGACTGGGCTTGGAGACGAGGCTGAAATTCCTTCTGCTACCAAATCTAAAGTACTGGGCTGGAAACGGAAGATAAAGGTAATAATTGACGGGGATTGTAGGGCAAGATAAACAAAGGTTTAATTGGTACCTAGGGATTTTAAACAATTAGGAATTTTTGGGCTGCCTAGAGCTTCAATTCAACAGCAAAAGGTTAACGACTCTTGCCGAATATCGAAAAAATATAGATATACGGCTTATTACTTCGATACACGTCTTGTGATAGTTGTAAAATTTTGTTGATGTGAAACGATGCACAAAATGAACCGTACTACGGATAAAGGCTATGGATTCGACCCGATCTCCTTGGAGGCTACGATATACACAACGTGAATAAGTGCCTATTCTGTTTTATTATATAAATGTTAATATCATGTGCAAAAGGCCAATATGCACACAAACAACATTGTACAACGACTACCAGGAGATTTAGTCTCGTCATTAGCGTATTCGTTATTCAAAAACTAGGAAAATGCATAAGAACAAGTCAATCTGCTGTGAACATTACTTTTATATTTTGGGCGCTGTTGCACTGATTTGAGATCAAAACCTGCCCCATGGCGATTGTAAAACATTAAGAAGCACATAAGGTGTTTAATGTCAACTGACGTACCACACTTTCTGATGAACTTGCGGAGGCCACCTTCACATTAGACTGTGGATTAAGTGTAGCGGTATTGGTTGATGAACTGATGATTCTCGGTAAAAACGTACTGCATTTACTGTGGCTTGTGAAAACGGGATAGCTCACACAAACCTTTTCCTTTTTGCACTGCCTTCAGAACTTGCGGAATTCTTAAGTTTTTCGGAGGCATCTACAAAGTTATTTAATTAATTTAACCATACTAGCAACTTTTTTCGAGATTTTTGGATATTTATTGAATTTAACAAAATAAAAGCTTTCAAAATCCATCAAAATTGTATCCAGATCAATATTATCACAGATTTCGTAGGAAGCGAAGTCCAAATTTGTTTCATTTGTCAATGCTTCGGCTGCTTGTAGATAACTAAGATGTAACATATTAGTGTGTTTACAACGTACCCTTCGTCTTTTAG